GATCAAAGTGTATCACACGGTCACAGATGTCTGATAGTGATAAATCATAATGATCTGAAATTTTCTAGATGTGTGTGTTTTAGTGAGATGCACATGATTAAAATATAAAACAAAAAATTTGAATGATAAAAATTACATAAAATACTCCTATAAAGTTTTAGGGGTAATTTCATCATTTTATTTTATGACTATTACTTTTTTAACATTTTATTTTGGTGCGACTTGGTCATATGTACACACATCCCAAATTTTAGATAAATCTTATTAGTACAAAATTATAAAAATTCAAATACCATAAAAAATTGTGACCGTATGATGAACTTTAAACGATGATGAGATGTAGGTGAATACTAATGGTCCTATATGACCCTCCCTTACCCATATGTGTAGGACCCCAAAGGATCACCATTTAAGTTGGCACGGATCTCTAAAAAAGTTATCACATGGGTGTGAGACTTGACTTTTCTATAGATCCGTACCAAATTTAATGGTGATCCTTTGAGGTCCTATACACATGGGTGGGAGAGGATCCTATAGGATCATATTTCATATATATATATATATACTATCAAATTTAGTGATACAATATACAATAGCTAAAATTTCTTTTTTAACAGTAGAATATTTTTGTTGGGCTGGATTCCAAACCATATAACTAAATCTTACTAATTGTTCGTTAGTGTTATTAGGAAATTTCTGTTTAAGAATTTCTCCTCGCCCTGATTCTTAGGCATGTGTTTCTATTATTTTGAATGTACTAGGGTGAGGGATGGTTAAACATGATAGCTCTTTAGCATTAAGTTTTATTTTTCTGACTGCCTTAGTGTGTTCATTCATCCATTCTGGTGGATTCTTTTATATATATATGGAAAAAGCTTGGGTGAGCCAGCTCGCCTACAAGTTTTGTGTGAGCCCAACGGTTGAGATGAAGAGTGGGAAAAAGGATGGGCACGATTAAAAAGGACGGGCGTGGTTAAAAACCCACTCTCTTTGTAAATGCTTAGGCGCATTCTCTCTCTCTCTAGGCAACTGTGACATGTTCTCCCTGCAACTCAACCGTGAAGATTCACTCTCCCTCTCTCCCCCGTTCTCCCTCTCTCTCTCTTTATCTCGTGAAGAACTAGGAGGATGAACTAGGCCCCTCTATCTCTCACCTATTCTCCTTGAAACTCCCCCGTGAAGAACCTGTTGGGTTTATGTGGTATTTAAATGTCTTATGAGAGATTGTGTAAAACATATTTATTAAATGAAACATGAACTCAGTGGGAGTGTGGTCATTTTGTGGACCATACAAGGCAAATATTATTTGCTGATACTCGGACTAGGCTCGACGAGCTAGGCTAGCCTAGGTTTAAAAAAACCCAAGATACCTGGACAAAAGATCTATCGATAATGGTTTAGTGAGTTATCCTTGATGAGGTCGGAGTATGCCCAGATGAGAGCCAATGAACTGTGTGGCTCTTGTGTGTGATGAATAGTTTTTAGAAACAGGGCTAAAACATCATCGTTATATCATCACACGACATGTACATAGATAGCCATTTTGAGATTCGCCAACGAGGGTGAAGCGTGTACATGTGCGAGAGATTACTCTATGCACCATAGAGTCATGGTTGCATCATGGTCTGGAGGACCATGATTTTTGTCTCTAGGGGAGAACTTGAAATCCATAAACTAGGATTGCGTCTCTTAGTCTATTGATTGACTTTGATGGTCCAATCATGAACCCCTATAGTAGACTGTGGGTCATGGGAACTGTTGGGTCAATTTGAGAAAGCTAGGCGGATTGTGATTCGTAGTTGAAGATTGAGTGCTCCCATATGTTGATAATTTTCTAGATCTAACGGATTTGATTCCCATCAAAATTAATTAATTTTATGCTATCTGATTTTTAGAATGTTTATTTAAATTTTTGTGATTCTTATGATATTTTATTTTTGTTATTTGGATTTATAAATTAAGAGAAATTAAATTTTCAATGTTTTAAATAAAATATAAGATTTAAAATTTTCTTAATATGAAATAAAATATTTTTTAAAAATATATGAGACTTCCATAAAATATGGACCCAAAATTTAAATACATGTGGATTATGTGTTGCCCACATGGGTGGCACGCTCTACCCATTCACATATTCTTCTTGGGAAGAATGTTTATCTCTTGTTGTTGGCTTATCTTTTGGGTATAGCCATGATAAGGTTGAATATTTGAGATATCTATTAAATTTTTGAATCAAGATTGGTTGATCCAATAATTAAGAATTGAATATATTAAAATATAAGTTTTTTTATTTAATGACAATCTTGATTCATTAATTAAGGATTTGATATATTAAAATATAAGCTTTCTTTATTTTATGGGAATAGATTTAGGAAAGGGAGGATAAAGCTCTAGCTTATCTCTTTGAATCTTGATGGTAGATCAAAGAGATGGATGACTCAAATCTTTCACCCCATAAGTCTCTTTAAATCGACGGTTGATATTTGACCTTACGGATTGAGGCAAAATCTGTGGCATAGAAAATCTATAAAAGGAGGTCTCCCCCTTTAACAAATTATGTATGTATTTTCTCTCTCCCTACCCCAAAATTTAGCTCTCTCTGAAAAGATTACCAAAGGGAGATACGCCCCAATTTTATCTCT